TGTTCAGCTTTGTCTGCTCTTAAACCTTTATAACATATCATTGCAATTAGTAAAATTCATCCCGTGATTCCCAGTAACCCCCCCCCCCTCCCCTCCAACAAACAGCTCAAAACAAAATAAACAAAAACAAACAGCCAACTGAAAATAGAATAACACGCAGACATATCAAGAGATCAGGCTGAGTATAAAACATCCATTGAAGCTTTTTTAGCGTAGCATTTTTTTTTTCCTTTTATCTAGTGTACAAAATTCACAGGTATTTCACAGATTCTTTAAGTCCTTTGTCCATCTTTGGAAACAAAACTTTGCAGAGTTGATGCATATTCTGTAAATAAACGTGTACTGTGTATATGTTTTTAGTGAAGCTAGTGTTGTCATGAAAAACAAGGTCCAGTCAAACCCTAGCCCCTTATGGCTTACTTCAAGTCTTCAAATGCTCTTCTGCTCATAAAAATTACCAAAGTTTCTTCAACCTTAAATTATTTCAGCTCACAATAGATGACAATAAAATCATGTGTTCAAAAAACATACGAGAAGTGAGCATCTTTAATCTACTCCATTCTAATGAAAACTTTAAATTGGTAATAAATGCTTTTAACATACACATACAAGGCAATTCATAATGAGATTGGCTTGATTTGTAAAGTGCTTGGTAGTGGGAAAGGAACTGAGCTCAGCCTGTCAGAGCTGCCTAATGAAGTGTAAAGAGTGACCAAGAAATCATATTTCCTTTGTTTCATGCACTTAATAAACAAAAGATACCAAATGCAATACACCATTACCAATGTCATTTGTAACCAGCTGTCAGTGCTGCCTGCCTGTCACCAAGAGGGCGTCAGTTGTGAGAAATGCTGATGAGCTGTTGTGCGTTATTGTTCATATGAAGCAGTGCACCAACTAATGCATAGCCATGTTTCTGCATCTTTTTTTCCCAGATGTCTGCGTTCAGCCACAAACCCTCTCCTACTGCTGCCTTCTCTGTGAAGACCTCACCCATCACCTATTTTTTAGGAAAAGTCATTTTCACTTTAGTCAGAGTGTGACTCATTCTGACTCACTGTTTTGTGCCCCATTTTTTCCATCTAGTATTGTTGTGTGGTGGTGGTGGGGGGATGTTTAAAGCTCATCCTCATATCCCACTTCATCAACAGCCTAAAAAATAACATGGACAAGCCAAAGTGGATTATTCACTGTGTCCATTTTCCTTCTCCTGTTGCCTCTATCTGGGTCTTGATCTACTGTACCACTCCACCTTGATCCTACATAATCGGTGATACTGTGTGATACTGTAGGTGTATGATCTACTTGTTTTCTTTATGGTGAGAAGGTGAATGATCAAGCCAAAGAATGACTAGACAATCACAGTGTGTTTTTCTGTATTAGTAACTAGTATTACATAATATTGCATCCTCAGGCTACCGTCCAGTGATGATGATTAAACAAATGCTTCACTTCCACTGCTTTAAGAACAGATGACATGGGTGAAAAGTACTGTGTCGTGGAGAGAGTGAAGCTTTTTTCTGCAGCCTTGACTAATGGAAGCACTTAACCTCTCTAGTAATGTAGAAAGTGATTAGACATAACCCCACATCCCATTTTGAGCTCTGATTTATTATTTAAGATAGGGGGGTTAATTTTAATTGGACCAGGCTTTAAATATAAGAATCAAATGATTAATGTTAGAAACTTTTGCAATTTTCTGGTGGTAAACAGAGATAAGGATTAAACATTAACAGTATATTAGATGGCTTTCTCATGTCTGGCTTTCACGTGGCTCAACAACAAAAAGGACCATCAGTCTCTAAGTAAGTCACTCTCCAGGGGGTCTGCAAGGACATGAGCTAAGCAGGAAAATATTTTTTTGTTTGATGCCAAATTCATCAGGAAAAAAAAACTGGTATAAAGGATATTGATGCTGGCACCGCCAACCTGTGGTTCTGTTCGAGTGTTTAATAATTGAGCTGCTAAGTTATTTGAGCTGGGTTTTACCCAAAAGTGAACCGTTTAATTGAAAGCTTCAGTGCTAAAGAATGACAACTCTAAGCAATAATACACAGCAGAGGTTTATTTAGGAGCTGATCACTTTGAAAGATAAACAATTCTCAGCCTGTTTTGTTAATATTGTACCTATTTTTACTACTATTTGAGACTGACAGCCTTGCTTGTCAAATATGAATTTTGCATAAAATAGACTTCATTGCTATTTTGGTTAATTTGGCAGCAGCCATTCAAGTAATTAGTAAAGATGAGAAACACAAAGTCCTTCTCAAACTACTGTACAAGAAATCATAATCATTTGAAATATGATGAAAACAGTTATAAATCTTTAGAAAGGTGCACACTTCTCACACCAGCATTAATGCTGTCAACACAGATTCATTCAAATACATTTTTGAATGACATTTGAGCAGAAGAGCACTTGAACATTCTTCTAGTCTCTGAAAATACGACTGTTAAATATGTTAAGTAAAACAGAATATATTGAATTAAAAGTCTTCCATGAAAACACTAATAATCAGGATTTTTGTCACATTTTCTCAGGTAGATGAACGCTCTTAACCTCAGTGTCCTTTCCTGCAAACTTAATGGCAGTTGGGGATCTGGGGAACTAAACATCCTGTAGGATTAGAACATACCAGAAAGAAAATCCCTTTCTGTGATTTGGTGAAAATCTGAAATCTTTATCTCAGATAACAGCAGCTCAGTGGGAAACTAAACATTTCTAAGAACATGGTGCTTTATCATATAAACAAGGTGGATGAGGTGGTGGATCCCAGACATGTTATTACTACAAGATGACAGTGAGGCCCTTGAGCTTGTGGTCTACTCAATTGTACACATTCACAGCAGAGCACCAACTCCAAGGGATACGACCGTGGACCCTGACTGTATGCACACATTTTAATAAAACATGGAAAAAGAAACAAATTGATGAAAAACAGGAAGGAAGAAATACATACATAAACATGTAGATACCATTTTACACACCACCCTTTAAGGTTTGCATACTCATTCCTGTTCAGCCTGGATTTGCTGAGTTAAAAATTATTTGCATGCCTAAAATTTAACCAAAAGAGCAAAGAGAAAAGAGAAAAACTGTGTTGATATGTGCTGTACAGACCCAAGTCCTATCTGCAAAAAAAAGTAATCTGATCGAGTTATATTCAGGACCTATATCTCACTGGACACTGTGGGAGCAGGGAAGGTGGGCCAAATGAACATTGTTAAAATGAACAAGTGAAGATGAAAAAATAGATCAAGATTTCTAAAATTAAACCTGTCGCTGTTATGTGTTTTTCCTTGTGGAGCAGCAACTGTGGGGCAAAAATCCATTGATCCGGTTTTCACATTTTTAGGGTAAAATGCCTGATTGTGTGTGGCTATGCAGCACTTTAGGTTAGCAGAATGCCAGACAATAGCACTATCATTTAGGAAAATCACAAGTAGATCATTCCAATAGAAAAGGCTAGATGGATGGATGATCCTGTATATGAATGAAGAATCATGGCTGTGTTAGCAAGAGGCACTGCATTACTCTGGTATTTCTGAGCATTACGATTTGATGCATGTCTGGGAAAGTACAATAAACATTGTTGATATTTATACATTTGTCCATGCCATTAATAATCTATTGTTTAGACTCCAACAACCAGCCACCGGGCAAGATACTGACAACTATTAATTTAAGTCAGTTTGGGCAATACAACATTATCTGACAAGGCATGCCAAAACTAATCACTGTGTATCACAAAGCCCCCCCCTCCAAAAAAAAAAAACACACACAAAAAACACACACACATGAAACATGCCTGTCACAAGCTGGCTCATTGTGTTATCATTAGACAACAATAGTATTCATTTCCAGAACAGAACAGTTGGCAGTAAATAGAAGGGTCCATTCCTTCTGTGCTTCATTCATTTTCAATGTTACAGAAAGGATTTGGAATGTACAGTGGCGTTCACGTTGAATATATTTTCCCGTCGCCTGCATGTAATCTACTTACATTCACAGTGGGTGCAGAAATGTATTTATATCCTTGCATGTATTTACTGTATTCTTTTATATCCCTGCTCATTTTGAATTTCTCCTGCTTTAGTAAGGGGATTACAGGAGCTCAACCGTCACCAAGCTAAGTTTCCTAAACTATCAGGTAAGTAGCATTTAATTACCTTCATGGATAGTGTATTATTTTGCCATTTGTACTCCTTTGAATTACACTTAACATTCCATTCATTACTTGGGCAAATGCTATTTAGGATAGTT